CTAGGTACCATTCGGATTTTTAACCAACACAACATTGGAGATCTAATCAGGATAAAAGCACTACGGAATGAACTGAGCGTCAAGCAACTTCTTTACTTCGGCGGCTGCCTCCTGACTTCTCTATTCGCCGTGATTCCTTTTCTTTTCCCTAACAGGCTTTTTCTTCGGGTCAACGGCGAGTTTGTGGACAGCAAGATCTGGACTAATGTCGGGCATCTCTTCCACTTCGAAAGCAAAAATATCCTTGAATTCTTTCAACAAATTTTGCAAGTCTGCCCCCAATTTAACAAAAGCAATCGTCCTCACCTTTACATTACGTTCCGGACGTGTCTCGTCCAGAACAACATTAATGTGATATCCATTCGGCTGGGGACAGATTTCATCTGATCCTTCGCCGATTAGTAATTCCTATTGCTTCTCCTTTTTTACAGACACCAACTGGTCGACCTTTGTTTTCTTGTCACCTGCTAGAGGGACAAATTTAGGTTCTTCATATCATCAACATCTATCGACTCAAGCTCTTAGCCGACTGCAGTAGGCTTGACGTCGGAGAGGTAGCATTCTCGTGCTACCTTCTGGTCTTCATAAAGAGTCGACACTGCCATCATCTTTTTTCAAACTTCATCAGCATGAGGGAGGGGATTATGACGGCCTTGGCCGCATTGAGATTATAGGCCGCCAGCTGTTCAACAACCTAGAACCAGACGACCATATTTCGCCCCTCACCCTTCTTTCCCAATCGGATAGGTAAGTCAATTCGGCCGACAGGGTGAATGACTCCACCCATAAAACTAAGGGGTGTGAGACCTCATACATGCTGCTGCAGTTGTATTTGAGCTTTGACAAACAAGCCCAGCTAATTATATCAGACGAACTGCGAGTATCAATTACGATCTGGCCAACCTTAAGGTTGGCAACCTTATATTCGACCACCATAGGATCGTCATGCGGCCGACGGACCTTGCCCCAGTCCTTCTTAGTAATGACAACTTTTGGGAATGCCTCAGCAGACGTCTGGGGCACTTTCAAATTCGAAAAAGACTCAAAGAAAAAATTCTTTTTTTTTTAAGTTCGAAAATGAAACAAAAAGTTGGATTGTTGAAATATTTCTGTTTTTTTTAAAAAAATGTCAAACGTAAATCCAGTTCAACTATTTGGATTGAGAGAAGAATCGAGTAAAAGAAAAAATGAAAAAGATTCATTAATAAAAAATCATATGATTAATGAATTATCCATTCAAACCCGATTCCTAAATTGGACAAATCCTTCAGTGACTGAAAAAAAATGAAAGATCTGACTAGTAGAACAAGAATAATCAAAAATCAAATAGAAAAAATAGAAAAAGACAATAAAAAAAACTAAAGGTTAGTCCTACCAAAACACCATATGGTGTGAAAAAATGGGATCGTCATTAACAAAATTGATCATTTTTCTGACATGATCCTTGGTGCCTCCAATCGCCGGGCCACCCCTGAAGCATAGCCTCCTGCTATTACACATATGAACCCAGAGTCTATGTCTGAGCCATTGTCAGCTTTTTTGGACGGCTACTTGGGGTCCGTTTTTAGAGTCACCTTAGACTTCAAGATATAGGACTTCAACAATCCTTTCTTAGCCAATTTATACAACAGCCGCTTGAGGATAAAGTAGTCACTGGTATCATGGCCTATATCCTCATGGAAATGGTAGTACTTGTTCTTATCATGGTGCTTATCCAGACCTTTAATTGCCAAAGGCTTCTTAAAGCTCACCCGGTTCTTTATCTCCATGAGGATGGATATCAATCCTTATTAAACTCGTACTTTGGAACGTATGGCTTAACTTCCTTTTTCTTTTTCTTGAACGGCTAACTAGAATCATCAACTGCCTAAACATCTTTCCTCTTTTTATTCTCTTCATTCTTTTGAGCCGGTTGTTCTTGCCGACTCCCTTTTTGCTTTTTGGATCTCTTATGATTCGACTGCTTGCTGGAGGAGCAGAGTTTGGACGCCTGTATATAGGCCTCTGCCTCCCTTAGCGCTTCAGGAAGAGTGAAAACCCTCTTCTGGACGAGATCAAACTTAAATTGCGATATGTCCTTTAGACCTTTGAAAAATTTTGTATAGGAAACCTCATCAGGCAATCCTTAAATCTGGATTCTCTCAAGATTGAACTTCCTGTCATATGAACAGAGCCCTTAGCGGTCTCCCTGAACAACCACCCCCAGGTCAATATTTGTCATTTAGGTAGGTATGTTTATTGAGAAGTTAGAGGCAAACAGCAACGCAAGCGTCCTAAAGTTGTTGATGCACCTAGGCGGTAGGTTGTTGAACCCCTGTTGGGCTATGCCCTTCAGTGTGGTTGGGAAGCATCTGCACCATGCAGCATCATCCAACCCTTATAAATACATGAGGTTGGTATATGCCATTAGGTGGTCTTCTTGGTTGGTGGTGCCGTCATAGGCACCGACCAAAATGTTCTTAACCTTGTCGGCTGTGTCGCCTTGGTTATTTCCTTGGAGAACGCATAAGGTTGTTCTCCAAGTTTGAGCAGACGGAGCTTCCAGTCCAAGGGTTGGACTTGATATGCCGCCTGTCCTCTGTAAAGAGCAGGCTGCCGGAAAGGTTGAGCGAACGGGCTGTATGATTATGAGGCACATGCGGCGCCGAACTAATAACATGAGGATCTTTTCAGATGGGCGAGCTGCCTAATAGGTACTCCTGTCCAGATAGGGAATTCTTCAAAGAGGTATTCCTGAAAGAGCTGTCTGGCATTGTCGGGGTTGATGCTGTGTCATGTGCTCGATGAACTACTGAGCATCATTGTAAGTCTTCTTACTTCCATCCAGTTCTTGATGCCGGATGGGCTTTCGTTTTGACGTCTCTGGGAGACGTATCTTTGTCCAATCAGTGAAGGGTTTGGTCCCCTCTTGCCGCTTGGGATGAAGAGTGGGTTCCTTATCGTTGACCGTCTTAGGCCTCTCAAAGTGAGGAGGCTTTTTGGCCGACTATCCCTTGTTAGGGCCAGCCATGTGAGTTTTGATGAGGTTTTTCATCTATCCGTTGAAGTCAGTTATGAACTTCAAGAATTCAGAACAGGTGATGTGAGCAGTCGACTCTTCAGTCAGGGACTTGTCGGCTGACTTGCTCGCACCAGCCTTATTAGCATTCCTCTCCTTTTTATCTTTGGAACAAATGCGTTTTGTGATGAGGGAACCATCTTCGAGCGTATGTACTTCGACCTCTAGATCCAACTTAGTATCGTGGTCTGTATGGACCTCTGCTTCATCCAGATTTCCTTGAATTTCCGGATGTGGTACAGGTTCTTCAGATGCCATCTCTGAGGTACTCTCCCCACAAGCGGCAAATGTTTCGGGGTTTCTTGATGTGTCCTACGGGAGAGTTACAACTCCAAGACTGGATTTGCTGGCACCTGTACCTGCAACAAACGGAAGCTCCAGTTGTTCGGAGTTTCGCCTCCGACGATCAAGTTAGTAACGGACGGAGTTGAGTAAAATGCGGAAAGTAAAAGTTGTTCTTCTCGTATCCCGAAATCTAGGAGATTTCACTATTGTAAGAACAGATGAATGGTGTAATGAATATAAGGTGTCCTTCCCAAGGTAATAAATGTCCCTATTTATAGGGCATGGGAGTGGGTGCCCTTACCTTAGGTCATTTAACTTGGGTAATTGGGCTGCGCCGTTTTTACGGCGCCACGGAAATTGAGCCCATGAAGGCCGCTATTTTCCCTTATGATTGATGTGTCACGTGTCTTATCTTGGTTGGCTCATTTCGAGCACCTCCTAGAGTGACACGTGTCACGGTCTGATTGGTCCACGTGCTTAGGGTATTTTTACCCTAAACAGTTTATTTATTACTGTAAAGAATAAATGAAACATTCATTGTTAGAAGTTGCAATTTTCATATTTAAAAAAAAATTATAAAAATTAAAGAAAAGAAGTGATACTGTTTTTGGTATACATGTAAATGAGAAAAATCATGTTTATAAGCATGATATACCAAGTTTAGGGATTATATTAGTCATTTTAACATTGAAATTGAGGGTAAATTTGTTATTTTAATCTTTTCTTCCTCTATATTTCTTCTCACGAATGACCATGGAAGCTCGTAATCCACATTTAAAATTCCACCTTTTCATCCCTCCAAACGAGTCATTTTCCTCCCCACAAGCCACCACTAATGCTGAGATGGTGCTAGATGTCGCGCTCAAATTAAATGTTTTCCCTAAGGGGTTAGTATAACCGTAGTTTATACTATTTGCCTACTAGGGTGTGTTTTTGTTCCATCGTCGCAAAGCGGCTGACGTTGAGGCCATTGTTGTTGAGAAAGGAATAAGAAGACGATATCGATTAGAAGACAAGAAGAAGAGGACGAATTTATGGTGGTTGTGATGGTTTTCGATGTGATGGTGGTGGATGTGATGAGTCTGGCTGTGATGTTGGTGGTGGCTGTGATGGAGATGCAGTGAGTAGAAGACCAATTTGTCTTATTTTTTCACAAAAGAAAAATAAAGTAAGTTTACAAAAATTACCTATTTTGCCACCTGGTATACACAATGTCGAGCCGTAAAAAACAAATTCATCTCATCCGCACAATATGTATATTAGGCAAATTAATAGGGCACTCCCCCATAGAAATCAAGGTAAAAGAAGTTAAAGAGGCACAAAAATCGTAGAAATCAATCTCAAATAAAAGGAAAACCTCAAATGGTGGGCCTCACTAACAATTCCATGGATTGAATCTCTTAAGTGATGGTGAAATTGTTTTATCGTTGGTGATAAAATAAACTTTTGAAAGTTTAGATGGTAAAAAACAGTTTATATTTTTTCAATAGTAAAAGTCAAAATATCTCAAAAGAAAAAAGTAAAAAATAAATAAAAATAAATAAATAGAAAACTTGAGAAAGTAGCTCTAAATCAGTGTACATGTTAAGAATTGGGGGAAAGATTAGGGGGAGAGAAAGACCCACACAGAAGGCCCGAGTAAAATTACATCTTAAAATCATATGATAATAGGAGGAGTAACTCACTTAAGTTATATACTAGTGATTCTTTGTTTCAATTTTTAATGTGAGATAACAACTCACACTTGCAAACTAACATGCCATTTTATTTTACCCATCACTAATTATTATTTTTTTTTAATTAGTTTTATTAATTTTTTTTTTTTGAAAAAAACCATCACTAATTATCTAATCTCTATTGTTATAGTTAAAACAATAATATCTTTCAAAAAAGAAAAAAAAAAAGTTAAAACAATAATATAACGAGGGGCAAAATGGGAAAGAAAAAGAGAGATATTTAAGGGGGTAGAAAACTAGAAACGGCGAAGTGTCGTCTGTCCTTTCCCGATAAGACCGGTGGTTGCTCAAATGGGGGAAAGCTTAGGGCATTGATCCTCGAGCACATATACATTCACCCTCTCTTCCTCTCTCCTCTTCCCTCATTTTTCCTACTGTTCACTCATTTTCCGGCAACTCATTTTATTAATTGAAATACTAGTAAATTATTTAAATTATTTTTAAAACTTAATTTTCCCGACACAACAAAAACATTCAAATTTCAAACCCTACTTCTTCGCCTTTCTTACTTCTTCATTTTCCTTATTACAACTGAATTAACTGATTTCTCTTCACATTAATGCTCTATTTATTTAGGTAATTTTTATTTCCTATCTTTCCGCATTTTTTGGAGCTTAATTTTAGTCAGAAAATTCCCATTTATATATAATTTAATTTAATTAAGATCTTATTATTATTCTAAATTATTATTTCTTAAAATTTTGGTTGAACAGGTTAGAAAGAGAAGAAGTTGTAGATCCAAGAACTTGAGAGCTAGTAATTACGCAGGTAAATTTAAAGCTTGTATTAATGCCCTCGTCGTCTTCGTCGCTGTCGTCTTAAAAATATCTCTAATCAATTTAAATACAAATATTTACAGCTAAGCGAAGCTAATCTGAGCAATTATCATAACCATCTATTTAAATTTTAACCAGAAAAAATTAGCTGAAAGCAACTTTATTTCATAATATGATGATCAAAGCTTATTAAGTTATTATTATTATTATTATTGTTGTTTAGGTTAGAGAGAGAAAGAGAGAGAAAAAATAGGCTTTTTGGGGTTAATTAGCTTTTTCGAGAGCATAAAAAAGTCTTGGTTTTAGGTATGTGCTTAACTATAAACAATTTCAGATCTCAACTTACAACTCACTAGCTACTGTACTAACTTAGCTAAATACTTACCTAAGCCTAAACTAAATATAACTTCATAGCTTATTACACTCTCTTTAGTATTTGTACTACTTCAATTTTTATTAGTATTATTATTAAATTAACTTAGTATCTGATGCTCCTTTTTATACTTTCATTTCCATTCTTTTTATTAAAAATGTATTTATAATACTAATACTGTACATTTTCTATTTTAAGAAATTATTATTATCGCATTAAACAAGAATAATAATTTTACATCTATGTAATAATGACATACAATACCGAGTGCGGTTGATGGTTATTGTGTGTAGTTGATGAATTGATTCAGTTTTGGTTATAAATTTTGTTGATTAATTATTTATCACTGCAGAAAAATAAAAAGAGTTTGCTTTAAAGAGACAAGAGGCTGCTTACTGTAGCAGTGTTTCAGCAGCAGTACATACTGAATTCTGAATTGTGATTAAAGCATTTTTTATATTTTCTTTTTATTTTTTTCTTTTACATATTTATTTTATTTTCTTGTTTTCTTTGTTGCAGAAAAAACCACAATAACTCTGATACATCGTCATCAATGCATAAGAGATAGGACATACTAATAACAGCCTAACCACCCTCAAAAATCTAAAGAAAAAAAAAGAGAGAAAATATTTATTTTCTTTTATTTTTTTTACTTTTATTGCTCACACTTCTGACAGCTGGGAGGAAAAGAGGCAAGTAGGAAGGAGGAGCAAAAGAAAGAAAAAAAGCTGATATTTATTTGTGGTTATTATGAAAGTGGGATGGTATGGAAGTGGACGAGATTCAGAGTTCACAGCAAGCTTGCAAGTACTCTAGGGTTAATTCTAATGGTAGAATTGATACTTCTAAGATAGGAGGGGGAGGTAGTGGTGGGCATGACAACGCCGGCCGAGGAGAGGATGAAATAGAGGAGACAGACCTCCGCCGGGCTATCGTGCCCACCACCACTACCTCCACCAACCCCGCTGCTGTCACGGGAAACGGGAGCAGCGGAGGGGTAGGAGGGGATATGCAAGTGGGGAGTAGTAACAGGTTTGGGAGGCAGTGGCAACCTTCATCTAGGATAATTAGGGTTTCGAGGGCGAGTGGAGGGAAAGATCGTCATAGTAAGGTGTTGACGGCGAAAGGGCCAAGAGATCGTCGTGTTAGACTGTCTGTTACTACTGCAATCCAGTTCTATGATCTGCAAGACAGGTTGGGGTATGATCAGCCAAGTAAAGCGGTTGAGTGGCTAATTAAAGCGGCTGCAGATGCTATCAACGAGCTTCCGTCTTTGAATACTAGCAGTTTTCCGCCGGAGACTCCGAGGCAGTTGAGTGATGAGCGTAAGCCTGTTCTAAATGGTGTAGATTCAGCAGATGTGGAGCTAGATGGTGACCCTGGTTATGGTCAGAACCAGCAACAAATGAGTACAAAATCAGGGTGTTGTAGCAACAATTCGGAAACAAGTAAAGGATCTGGTCTGTCGCTGTGTCGGTCTGAGAACCGAGTTAAGGCGAGGGAAAGAGCGAGGGAGAGGAGGACGGCAAAGGATAAGGAAAGAGATGGTGAACCAACAAGGGTTAGTGTTGCTTCCCATCAACATAATCAACACCATCAAAATGTAAGCTCAATGCCACAAACATCGTCTTTCACTCAGTTACTCACGGCAGGTATGAGCAATCTAAATGAGAGTAACAACGGAGCAGCAGCGAGCTCGAGCCCTTCGCCTCATCACCATGTAGATTCGGAAGTAGATTTGTTTCATAAACATTCAAGAGGAGGCAATAACAACAATCAGTGGTTATCATCAGCAGCTGCGGCAAGTACAACTCCTATGGCAGATTACTTTGGGACCGGACTCATTGGCCTATCCTCGACTCGAGCAGGCCAGATCCAAATGGGAAACAATTCATCATCAGTCCCCCAAGTGATGACCATTTCATCCTTCGGGGGGTCGGAAAATCATCAGCATCAGTCCCACCATGATCAACTTTACCAGCACCAGCACCAGCATTTCCCCTTCATGTCAGACCAACAACACCTAATACAAGTCGCAAACGCAGCGGCCTCAGCCGGAGCGAGTGGGGGAGGAAATGACTATAACTTAAACTTCAGCATTTCCTCTTCTTCTACTCCTACTCCCAGCTTAGCCGCTGGTTTCAATAATAGGGGGACCCTTCAGTCCAATTCTCCGTCTCTGTTGCCTTACCTCCAAAGGTTTTCTACTACAGACGGATCAAGCTTGCCCTTCTTCCTTAGCAATGCAACAGTCTCTTCCGCGTCACCAACGATTATCGAAAACCACCACCATCACAACCACCACCACCACCAGCAGTTTCAGCCACCAGGGTTGCAGCTCTATTACAGTGACGGAAACCGGCAATCAGACCAGAAGGGGAAAGGAAAGAACTGAAATTTTTTCACAAATCATATTCAGTTTGTAAGTTCTACCTTTCCTTAACCTTTTTTAAAAATTTAACTTAATTTCTTACTGTTCTTCATTTCTGTAAAATTTAACCTGTTTGATTGATAGTCTTTTGCTAAACTTTCCAATTGTGGGCCATTTTTTTTTTTCTTAGTATGATATGATGCCTCAAAAGTTGCTTGTTGCATTATTACTTTTTGGATTGACGTGTTATAAATTCATGGTACTGTGAAAATAAAGGCTTAGATTTCTTGGTAATCAACTAATCATTAATATATAAATATTTGGTAATGTATAACTGTTGTTGTATTTTATCAAAGTATAAATGCTTATTGTTATACTATATAGTTTGTCTTATATGATTTATATGCTTGGATTTTGGTGATTAGGATTCGGCTGGTTGTCTGGAATTTTATATTTTTGTTGCTGAATTGTTGTCCTAGAATAAGATTGTAAGTAAACAGGTGTTGATAATCCACCTTGTGACCCAATAAACCTTTACAGAGAATTGCACAGAAGATATGGGGTTTGAGTAGTATTGGATTTAGCAACCCAATGACCATATGCTCCCCAATTAAACTCTTGTCTGAAATACCCAATGTGTTTGCAATGTATGTTTGTAATTAATTGGCAACCACCTTGTTTTAGTCATTGGTTGGTAAATCCTTCTAGACATGTTAAATCGAGTACTCCGGATAGGATTCTGAATGGTTTAATTAATTATTGTGTTTTGAATCGTCTTTCACCTTGAATAGGATTCTAAATGGGTTAACTAACTATAGAGTTTTAAATCAGCTTTCACCTTGAATACGATTCTTTCTAATGGGTTAATTAGTTATAAATTATTCGAAATTTCGAATCAACTTTCACCTTTTAAGAAAATATTAATTATTCTGTATTGAGTAAGATATTATCTACTCACACCAGTAACACCTATTACTCTAATAGTTTAAAAAGTAATAATTTTTTTTCTCTAGCCAAATCGACAAAAGTGATGCATTATGGTTTTCAAATTTTTACAAATTTTTGGTCGATTAGAATACTATTGAACAATTGAATGGACGTACAAGATCAAAATAAATCATACTTATATGTCTATTTTTGTTGTAAAACATGTGTTGTGAGCTACTAATCTAGATTCTAGAAGTGCGTGCCTGTCTACAAGAATTTACCTAATTCTATATCAAAGATGCCACCATTAATATTTAATAGCCTGGTTCCTCCTTGATGTACTACCGTCTACCCTGAGTTGAACCTAAAACATCTTTCCTTGACTAATTTTTCCTTCAAACTTTTATTTTAAAGTTAACTCCCTAGACCCCATTTAAATTTGATATCATGTTATAGTCTTTTTTCTAGGTCCTCAAAGATATGCCTTCGGTTCCCAAAAAAAAAATCTTAGCCTTTGCTCTAGAGGATCTCTGTAATTTTACATTGTACAATGTTTTTTATTTTTTTATTTATTGTATTTATGTGTATGCATTTTAATAACCCCTGAAGTACATACATTGGAAAAAAAAAAAAATTAAAATGTGCTTTATGTTAACTTATAATTCTCCATTTCTCAAAAAATTGTAATATGGGGATGAGACATGAATTTTGAGAAAAAGAAATGATATAGGAATAAAGATTAGGACTCATGTGATGAAGAGTACGAAAGAAAGAAAATATGTGCAAATAAGAAAATGTTACAACATTTATAAAACTTGCTACAAAAGGCAATTGTTGCAATATTTGTAAATTATGTTAATATAAATGGATTTTTAATCGGAAATTATCTAATAAAATCAAGATTTTGTAAGAAATTATCTAATAAAATCAAGATTTTGTGAGAAATCATCTAATAAAATGTAAAATGTTGTAAAATACTACCTCATCACTGACCTAATAATCTAGCCTTGACACATTTCAATGCACCTCGAATCCACTGCTTTCATCCCCAAAACCAACACAACTCGCTTGAAAATGCATCTACCACGCCGCACCACCCTCCAACCCTAAAACCACTAGCACTTACCCCAAAATCCACCTGCCCGTAGCCCTAAACTACCCTAACCAACTCGGAATATCCTCCAACCACCCCGAAATAACATTACCACCTTGAAAGCCAACCACCGGGGTGGTTTCGATGTTATTTTGAGGTGGGTCAACGATGGAAAATTAAGTCAACAATGGGAATACGGACAGATATAATATTTTACAACATTTTACCCTTTATTAGATAGTTTATTACAACATTTTATATTAGGTAGTTTTTCATATAATCTAGGATTAATTTGGTACTTTTTCAAAAAAAATCCTATATAAATCATTCACTTGCTTTACTTGTATAATATAAAGTCTGTTTTTTTTTTTTGTTTTTTTTTTTTTTTTTTTTTTTACGGGATACAATATAAAGTTAATAAAGAATAAGTTTTCATTAAATTATGTGAAGTCAAAGTGATGCATTCATTTTGTAATTAAAGAAGTGTAAATTTACTCTTATCCAACCTAGCTATAAACTCTTATATGAACCTGGTTCACACTAATCTTATGTAGACCACTAATATTAGAGACACTATGGTTGTTCTATTAAAAAAAATTAAAAAAAAAGGTCACTATATTAAGATAAAGGTTATTATGTTGAAATAAAAGTCATTGTGACATTATAAAGGTTGTAAAAGGTTACTAATGCTTTTAATGATATTTTTTAATATACTTACGAATAATAAAGGTCACTATGTTAAAATCAAGATCACTATGTTCAACATACCGTCGTACTTCAAATTCACAATAATATTAAATGTCACAGAAGTTATAATAAAGGTTATAATGTTAAAACTAAGACTAATATGCTAAAATTAGGATCACTATGTTCAATATAACACTAGTTGCATGTGTATAAATCTCATGTCCATAATAATATTATTATTGTGGACCAGGTTCACTGTAAGTTTTTTCCTACCCAACCTACTTGTTTAATTTTATTTTTCTTTCTTCCATAACTCTCCTTTTAATTAGAATTTATGATATTCCACTTATTTGTTTTAATTGCGACAATTAATTAAAAGTGGATGTTTTACATACTTTTTAATACTGTATATGTAAAATTTAAAAAATAATTAAAAAATAAAAAAAGTGCCTTGAACTTAAAGACTAATTGGGAATTTGGCATCTATGGTTGTTATTACTCATGATAGGTTAGCACTGACATGATAAATAACTGAAATTTATGTCTATTGTGAAAAATGCTACCAATCCTCAAACTTGTATGCTTGTGGAACATAATTCTAAATGCCTTTATTGTAAGTTCTTCTTCATCCCCTTGTCACTTCAGCTTTTATTTTCTCTTTATTTCTATTCAAGCAGTTGTTTCTTTTCTCTTTTGCTGTAGTAAATTTAGTCATCTTGGGTATAAATCTTGTTTCCATACTTCCCCTGTATTGCCCTTAGAATCTCACTATCCTTTTAAGGTTTTAGTTGTACCCACAATTGGCCAACCAATAACCTTCAACCACTACCAATTCCATCAAACTATACTTTTGAAGTGTTAAATAATAAGTGTATGTGGTGTCATTTCTATGTCCTATGTAAACTTTGATAGAATTAAAGTGACTTTATCTTGATTACATTGTTTACCTGTTCATTTTGAGCTGGTGGTTGTCCAATTTTCTCAAGGTTCTATCTGGGGCCTCTATTAGGCTTCATAACACTTGATTCCTCTGCCTCCTTCCCCACCATTTCTCTTTGTGTGATGTTCTTTTTAATTAATATTCTAATAAATCACGCGAGTGAGAGTGTCTTATAAATATAATCATGAAATGACCATTCATCACAACAAATAAGGCAAATATAAGAATGTTGGATAAATTTTAAAAATATATGGAAAGCGTTCCTTTGATTTTTAAAGTACAGATGGACACGATATGTGAAACTAATGTCACTAAAGATTTTTTTGTTTTTGTAAAGATTGAAGCTTGCCATAGGTGAAGAATTCAAATACTTTACATATAGTTGGTCTACTGTTAAAAAACTTTTGCAAGTGTTTAGAACTTATGATGCATGCATGCGGTTACAGGACTTATGCCTGGAAACCATTTTTTTTAAAAAATAATTTTTAAACTCTTTAGTACACAAGAAATAGATAATATTAAAAAAAAAAATGTGCCCTCCTTGTCTCGTAGATTAAGACAGAATTTAATGGATTGGTGTTACTAACATGAAGAATATTATTCAGCACATAAATATGTTCTCTAAATGCTATGTTATTTACCATATAACAAATTAACAATTATGATCGTGGTTTTAATAAAATATTAAAATATAAGAGGAGACTAGGATCATGATTAATGCAGTTGACATGGCATTTTAAGGTTGGAATTTTGGATAGAAATTTAGAAACCAATAGAATTGCCACGAAACTAACCCAACTCGAAACACACTGGCTAATTGAAAGTGACTTAATCTAGATTTTAATTTGCATATACATAATAATTATGCTCTTAAGTAATCATTGTAAAGACATTTATCATTGAAATCATTTTTTATTATATTAAGATTGTTTGCCGGATGACATAAGGCACCAAGTTTAGATCAAGACACTAAGTATGCCATATATGGAAGTGATAAGGACTTTAAAAGTTCTAATGAGTTATTAATTATGGACCACTAATTGCTATCTCTAATATGAGTATATGTTTGTGTAATGTGACCCAATGCAAATTGAATGTGTCAAAATCATTGGCAATTAGAAAATCAACCAAAACAAATTAGTTGACAGGTATTATATTGACTATTAAGTATATGAGAGAACTATAGAAGTAATAAGTTAGGACTTGGGAGCAGTTTAACCACATAAGTACTCTAAAAATGAGACATCAAACACGTAACATAAGTTTGAATAAGATGATAGGTTTTGATATTATTCTTATCTAATTACTAGTGGACCTTATCCCTTTAGAATAGTGAAGTATTGTCTTGCATTTTAGGAATGATACTAGAGCAGACCCTATCTCTAATGAATAGTGATATATTGTCTTGTCACTGTATTAAATTTTGTCTTTTCGTGTTGTTCATAATTGAATGTGTTCATTTTATCTGATATGATATGAGTTTTTCTAATTAAATCCGACGTGATGTGGATTTTCTAATCTAATCTATTTAATTTTTAAATTTGACAAATTTATATGGTTGAAGATATATATTTAGATTTGATGTTAAATTTGTATGAATGTGTTATTGAGAGTTTGCTCCAATTTCTCGAGATGAGAAACATTTATGTTTCTTTTAATGGCAAATATGTGGATAATGGTTGGTTTTTTTTTTAATATTTTACTATCTTTTCTTACTGAGTTATTTTCATCCTCCTTCCATTTTTATGATACCTTCTTCAATCTTTCGAATCATCCATGGAAGACGAACCCCATCACCATAATCAACACCATTCCCGACACCAATAACACCATCATATCCGGCGGTTTGCCTCCAAATTTAACGAATAACCGTAAGGAAAATACATAAATTAAGGGTACGGTTAACCCCAAATGGTAGGTTTTTGCCATTGTTTGAAATTGTTACCTCCATTGTTGAAGAGAGATTCGATTTCCATTGTTGAAAACTGCTCATAGTTCATGGTTGAAGAGAGAGAAGCTGAGAGCAGTGGGTATTTTTTTACCAAAAGACCAAACGCGCTTTTGAGAAACATACATATGTCGAGAAACTTGTATTTTCTCAGTTATTGAAGTTTTTTTTTATTTTATTAATTAATTTTTTTGAACTTACAATTTATTAAAGTATTCAAGTTTTTTTCATTAATAAAAAAAATACAATTACAAAAATGATTTGCCGTGATATAATTTGATAAGATTGATGTGATGAATTATGAAATAAGCAATACATTTGCTTGGAAAAGTTGAGCCGTAGATAACCTCAATTAAAAAAAAAATCCCTTTTGCACCAATAGAAACATGAATTTTGTTTCACATTAAATTCAAAATACTACTAAACCTTGACTTTTGTAATATATATATATATATATATATATATAATAAATTATTAATAAATATAGAAAATAATTTCTAAAGCTAATTTTTACTTCTTCTTTTTTTTACCTTGTTCTACTTTACTATTTTTGGCTACGTCTTTTACTATTTTAAGTCTTTTATTCTCTACATTTAATCTACCTTTTGAATCCCTTAACATATTAATTTATCTACCTTTTCCCTATATCCACCCTAACTTTTACTTTGTCTCCCTTTAATAATACACTTCATTCGAACTAAAAGCTAAACTAACAAGCCTCATTATTCTCTAAACATCCAAATTCAATAAATATGTATGTCATTAAATGGATCTGGATAGGATAACTAATTGCTAAATGCTTACCACGGTTTAGGTTGGTTATACTAGTAAGGTACTAGAAGAAATCAATTTCTTGACATGTTACTTAGCATTATTTTTTTTGGGATTAAGATTTCGATTGTTGTTAGTCATAAAGACCCCGGTCATTATGTATATCGCGGATGCCATCTTTAGCTCATCATTGTTAGTCATTCCATTGAAATGTTGGATAAGATGGGTTTAAATGGTGAAAATTCACGAAAGGATTGCATTAGTTATCTCATAAGTCAAGTTCATTTGTCTAATAAAGTTTCAATGCCATTTGAATCTGCTCGTTAATGTCAAAGTTAGGACAATCTGAAGTTGATTGATGTTTTTGCTTGACAAAAGAAGATGGTAGTTGTTATCATAAACTTATCAAGTGTTAATATGCTTGGCATCCACTCTTGCAACGTTGAAATTCTAAATGGGATATGTGATGTGATGAGGTCTATGTGCAGTGCTTCCTTTATGTATCAAGTTTATATCTATTCTCTAACATTAACATAACTTTGTTGTCACAATCTTTAGTAAATAAAATCACCAAAAGATAGAAGACCCTTTTAGTATAGAATTTGATGTGTATCTTAGAAAACTAGTAAATTTTGCTCGTGTTAAGTTGTAATTAGTTGGTTGCCATCTTAGTACTACGGTGCTAAACAAAGCCTTAATTCTAATCGGTATCAGAGAGAGTCATTTCATTACTAAGTTGCTTACTAAATTATCACAAATTAATACCAACAGAGTTAGACTGTTATCATTGATGTCTTGTAATACTTGAGGTTAAGATCGAGCTTCCCACCACTACTAATAACTTTTGCACTATCATAAAAGACAGCCACACACTTCTAATCTACCCGTCCAAATAAATTGGATTGTCTTATTGATCATCGAGATTAACTAGGAATCTTTAACAACAGTGTAGCTAGGAATCTGACAAATGGCACAATACCACTTTGACAGAAGCCTTATTCTCTGTACTCAAGTGTTTTAACGCACCCTTTTTCTTTTTAAACGTGCCTCTAATTCTGAAATTTGGTCATAGAACTCGTAGTGTTATGTAGTGTTAGAAGTCAATTACTAGTACTCCATTTTGCTTTGTTGATCAAAATTAATTTACCTACAAATTAACATGAAAGACATAACCTAGTGAATATAGACTTGTTATAAGCTATGAAGTTTGTTAAAAATTTTGTGCAAAATGATTGGAGTAAAGTTTGAATGTTGTCGATGAATTTCTAGTATTTTCGTTCTGTATTACGCTACATGCCATTCACATATAGCTCTATGTAAATGTGTTTTTACTTTGACTGATACTAACATAGTGTTGTTCGTGAAGTTTTGTGCAGGTAGACATTGATGGAGCAACGTAAATAGAAGCCCCTGAGTCCCTCAAGAGAATGCAGATTATACCTGTTCATGTTCTCTCTACTTGTGAATTCAATGCTTCTGATTTTGTTTGGATTCTAAATTTTAAAATTTTCCCAATTTGTAGTCAATGTAATTTGATTCACATTGATGTAGTTGAATTTGTTAATTTATGCGAAAGCAAAGTCGTGTGTTTTGATCTACAACGTACATTTTTCTTAATCGCTAGTGGTATTTATGATTCTTGGTTTTGTATACTCATGGAATTACAGGACTTGTGTTAAAAATAGCTAGCAAACTTTTTCCTTTACTGATTGGCAGGAAGGCAGCAGACTCCCAACCATCCTAACCAGGAAGGCAGCAAACCACTTTTCTTTCCTGATTGGCAGCTTGTCGGCGGCCATTCCAGCTCCTCTTGTCGCCGGCAACAACAACCCATTCAAGAGCCTATTTGCAGAAGCTTGCACTCCAATTCAGCTCAACTGGTTTGTTATATAAGTTTAGTCTTTTCTCTTTAGTTTGTGCTAGTTTTTTTTTAGTTAGGTGGTTTGTGTTGGTTTTATTCATTTACTAGATGAAACATGTGTGATACAAGGTTTGTTTAATTTTTTAAAACAATTTTTTTTTTTTTTTTTTTTTTTTTTTTTTTTTTTTTTTTTTTTTTTTTTTGTATTTATGTGCTAATATTTGTTATATACTTAGATAAATTTCTTAATATCAAAAGATAATATTTTAAATTTAATTAATTTAAACTTAAAAATTTCATTCGCCAATTGTTGATGCGTATGTTCAAGAAACTTAAACACACACAAGGATAATTCAAGCCTAATTCTCTATAGGATTCGTCCACCAAGAATTAAACAAGAAGACAAGTAGATTAATTAAGTTAAAGGTCACACCACCCCTTAATTAACCAACTTAAACAAAGCTTAAAGAACCTAATCACCAACTTAAACAAAGCTTACAGAACCTAATCACCAGCTTCAACAAACGAATGTTTTGATTGCAAAACAAACAAATACTTTGATTTATTAATCTGAAATTTTTTTATATCTAAAAGTCATGAAATTACAACTATTTATAGACTAAAAATTAACTAATTCTAAGTCTATTAGGACTAGGACAAGTCCATAGCCATTAGCCCCAAGTAACCCAAATAGAATAGGAAAACTAATTCTACTTAGATTAGGAAACTAATTTCAATTCTACTTAGATTAGGAGACTAATTCTACCTAGTCTATAATTTCTAAAATAAATTAAATTAATCCTAAGTGCTTAAACCAAAAAAAATCGTTTCAAGTGAAAGGTAAAAACTTGCAAGCAAAAACTAATTAAAAACCACTAAGTAGAGTAAGTAGAATGATCCGGAACTTGAGCTTGTAACGTACTAGACACCAAGTTCCTTTGCTTGAACCGTCCAAGAACCGCCAATTTGTAGCTTCTAATGAGTTAATGTTCAAGTTTAGGTTTTCCTTGTAAAGATTTAACAAACTCTCGAAATTCTCAATATCCGGATCATCCTCCTCTTCTTCAAAAGAATTTGTCCTCAAATCTCGAAGTTCATCATCAGGAACATAACGAACCAAATCTCCCACATTAAATGTAGCACTTACACCATAGTCACCGGGAAGATCGAGCTTGAAAGCATTATCATTCACTTTCTCAATAACCTTGAAAGGACCTTCACTTTGAGGCATGAGCTTATTCTTTCTCTTGCTTGGAAACCTTTCTTTCCTTATATGCAACCACACCAAATCACCAACCTTGAAGTTTTGTGGCTTTATATGTCGATTTGCTCTCTCTTTGTACATTGAATTTATCTTCTCAATTCTAGCATGCACTTGAGCATGTAACTTCTACATCACTTGAACTTTGGTCTTAGCATCATGATTCACCAATTCACCCTTAGGAAAAGGAATTAAATCCAAAGGTAGCCTTGGATTCGTACCATACACAATCTCAAAAGGTGAATGATTAGTAGCATAAGTAAGAGAACGATTATAAGAAAACTCATCATGAGCAAGTTTAACATCCCAATCCTTTTGAGTTTTACTTACCAATCCACACAACAATACTCCCAAAGTTCGATTAGTAACTTCCATTTGCCCATCCGTTTGAGGATGATAAGAAGTGCTAAATAAAAGCTTAGTTCCAACTAGCTTCCACAAAGACTTCCAAAAGAAACTCATGAATTTAACATCCCTATCACTCACAATTGTTTTAGGCATACCATGCAACCGAACAATTTCTCTAAAATAATGATCAGCTATATGCAATGCATCATCAGTTTTGTGACAAGCAATAAAATGAGCCATTTTAGAGAATCTATCAATTACCACCATGATAGTTGTTTAGGGTAAAAATACCCATGACGAATGGACCAATCCGGACCTGCCACATGTCCGCCATAAGGACCAATCAGCGTCCGCCACTTGTCACTCTAAGAGGTCCAACATGGACTAATCAGGCCACACCATGTGGCCCATAATCCGCCAACCTGGAAAACGGCCATCATAGGCCCGTATTTCGAGGCAAGCCCAATCAGTCCTAGGTTTCGCCAGAAAACCTAGTATTGGGCACGTACTTCGAGGATATATAAACAGGTAATTAGCCTCCATTAAACAACAGAATCATCTCACCAAGAGAAGCCTAAATACACGTGCATTCTGACTGCTAGACCAGACTTAGCATTAATTGCACTCCTTGATCACTCCTCTCTTTAGGGAAACCAGGTCACCCTTTTACTTTCCGCATCATTTACTCCTCAAACACGTTCTAACTTGATCGTCGGAGGCGGAGCTCCTACCACCCGGAGTCTCTGTTGCTTTGCAGGTACAGGCGCAAGGATTCTAGTCCCGAAATTGTAACTCTCCCACAGGACATAAAAAAACCTCGAAACAATAGCATCTTAACCCCTTTGAGTTTGAGGCAATCCAACTATAAAATCCATGGAGACATCCTCCTAAGGAAAATCAGGAACAGGTAAAGGAGTGTAAAGACCTTGATGGAACACACTCTTTTCCTTTTGACATGAAGCACACCTTGCAATCACAGATTGAATATCCCCTTAGATCTTAGGCCAATAAAAATGCTCTTATAAAATGCTAAGAGTTTTATTGATACCAAAATGCCCTACAATTCCTCCACCATGAGCTTCTCTCACAATCAACTCACGGATAGAACACTTGGGAACACACAATCGATTCCCCTTGAAAAGGAAACCATCTTGAGTCACATAGGAACCTACGGCCCCCTTTGCAAAATTCTCAAGTATAGGTGTAAATTCTTCATCACTTGCATAATACTCTTTGATCAAATCAAAACCAAATAATCGAAAATTCAAAACACCAAGTAAAGAATATCTTCTTGACAATGCATCTGCAACAATATTAGCCTTCCCCTCTTTGTACTTAGAAGAGAAATTAAATGATTGCAGAAATTCCACCCACTTATTAGCATGTCTCGGATTTATTTTTGTAGTCCATGTATGTACTTTAATTACTCATGACCCGAATGAAGCACCAAATGATTAGACGCAAATAATGACTCCTCAATGATCTAAAGCCCAGACAATTGCATAGAATTCCTTGTCATAAGTAGAGTAATTTGATCGAGCACCATTCAATTTTTCACTAAAGTAAGCAATAGGTCTCTTCCTTTGAATTAGAACCGCACCAATTCCTACTCCACTTGCATCAGTTTCCACCTCAAATGGACTAGCAAAGTCAGGTAGGGCTAAGATAGGAGCTTCACACAATTTCTTCTTGATTAAATCAAAGGCATGTTGCACCTCTTTACTCCACTTAAATTTAACTCTTTCTTTCTTCAAACATTCAGTCATAGGTGCAACAATACTAGAAATTTTTTTCACAAATCTTTTATAAAAAGAAGCTAAACCATGAAAAGAACGTACCTTCAAAGCATTCTTAGAAAACCAGCCATGATTTAATTGCTTCTACCTTAGATGGATCAACAAAATCACCATCTTTTGATATTATGTACCCTAGAAAAGTCACATTTGGTACAAGAAAGTAGCATTTTTCTAGCTTTGCATACAACCTTTGCTTTCTTAGAACTTCAAACACGCCTCTTAGATGATTAAGATGATCATGCATATTTTTAGAGTAAATCAGAATATCATCTAAGTAAACCACAACACACTTACCAAGGAAAGGTTTGAGAACCTTATGCATTAACCTCATGAAAGTACTATGAGCATTAGTAAGGCCAAAAGGCATCACCAACCATTCATACAACCCTAACTTAGTCTTGAATGCAGTTTTCCATTCATCCCCTTCTCTCATTATAATTTGATGATAACCACTTATGAGATCAAATTTTGAAAATATTTCGAACCATGTAGCTCATCAAGTAGATCATCTAGCCTTGGAATTGGAAATCTGTATTTGATTGTGATGTTGTTCACACTCCTACTATCTATGCACATGCGCCAACTCCCATCTTTCTTAGGAACAAGTAATGTAGGCACCGCACAAGGACTCATACTCTCACGCACATAACCCCTCACCATGAGTTCTTCAATTTGCCTTTGCATCTCCTTAGTCTCTTCAGGATTACTTCTATAAGCAGCTTTGTTTGGTAAAGGAGCTCCCAGAATTAAATCAATTTGATGTTCAATACCACGAATTGGAGGCAATCCAGGTGGTAATTCATCCGGAAACACATCATCGAACTCACGCAAAATAGGCTCCAAAACCGAAGGTGTTTGCACCTTACTTTCTTCTTTAATTTCCTTTGAAACCAACACATAAAAGCAACCTTCTTGCGCCACTGCTTTATCAAATTCTTTCTCATTAATCATCAGCAAGCCTTTCGAATTAGAAGTGATCTTTGGTAGATTTGAAATTAAGGGTTTCAAAGCAACTGGTTTGTCTTTTTCTCCCTTTTTAACAACATACATATTAGTTCTACCATCATACTTCACAAATCTATCAAATTGCCAAGGTCTCCCTAGCAATAAGTAGCATGCATCCATTGGACAAACATCACAAATCACTTGATCATTAAATTTGCCAATAGAAAAAGAAATCAAGGCTTGTTTTGTTACCTCACTAGTGTTTCTTAGCCAATGGAGCTTGTATGGTTGAGGATGTTCGGTTGTAGGATGCTTCAATTTATCAATTAGAGTAGATACCACATTAGTGAAACTCCCCGAATCAATGATCATGTCACACAATCTCTCTTTCACTTTGCACCTTGTAAGAAAAATTTTCTCTCTTTGATTGTTCTCCATAGGTACAGTTTGGGAGTGTAGTGCTCTTCTCAAAACCAAGCTTTTACCATGTGTCTCGAGCTCTACTTCACTCACCTTCTCCTCCTCTTCTTCATCGTTTTCTTACTCCTTATCTTCCTCATAGTCGCCAGCATTCTCACGTAACACTTGCTCTTGTTCCCACTCATGTGCAGTAATCACTCTCTTTGAAGGACAAGTGCTTGATATGTGACCATAGCTCCCACACTTGAAACACTTTCTCTTATCCTCACCTTCAAGCTTCTTGTTAGGTTCGAATTTAGGTTTATTTTGCTTGGAATTAGACGAATTGCTAGCATTAAATTTACTGAAATTCGGCTTTTCAAAAGTCTTAGAACCCCCTTTAGTGTACGACCCCTTCTTCCCTTTTAATTGCTTTTCAATTCGAATGGCAACCTTACACACATCATCATAGTTTCAATATGGTTGTATCTCATTCCGCAATATCTTCATTCAATCTAGCAATAAATCTAGCTACTTTATGCTCTTGCCTTTCATATAAATCACAAAGCATATCAAATATTTCAAATTCAGTAATAAAATATTCAACACTAGATGTACCTTGCTTGAAAGTTTGCATCTTTATGTAGAGATCTTGCACATAGTCTTCAGGATCAAATTTCTTCTTCATGTCTTCTTAAGTTGACTCCATGTTCGAATCCTATCCCTACCTTCTCTTTCCCTTTTCTTTTCTAAGTTATCATACCACAAGCTTGCATATCCAACCAACTTGCATTCAGCCACCTTGCAACTTTTTCTCTTATCCTTGAAATCAAATAGGGTTTTGGCTCTCCTTACCCAATCAAGATAATTTTCGGGTTCAATTAGACTATCATGGAAATCTGAAAGATCTAATCTCAAGATTTTATCATCATCCTTGCGCTTATCTCTCCTTCTAGGCCTTGGAGATTCATCACTTGATGAGTAGTCTTTCTTAGGTTTTCTAGGTTTTCTCCTTCTTGAACTCCCCTCATCACTTGAGTCTAGATTAGAGTCGGAACTGCCCTTCTTTGAAGAAGATTTGTCACGAACATCAAGTTTCCTTAGTACCTCATCCAACCTTGCTGCCAATTTGGTTATCTGTCGATCTCTTCGAAGGTTATGTGCTTGTTCTAAGGTTAAATTCCTTGGAACTACTGGTCTCTCTTCGTCACTCATAATTTCTACACAAATGCAATTAGTTTATGCAAAAATCTTGATTAAAAGATCGAATCTTGGATGAATAATGAAGCAAAACAAAATCGGGTTCTCAATCGCAAATCAGTGCAGCAACACCAAAAGTTTGAGGTTGTGTAGAACTTGTTACTTATCCAAAAATTACGAAATTTTAGGAAGTGGTAGCTGGACGTTTTTGAAGTCCAATGAAAAAAAATCACTCGAAATTTCCCAGTAGAACGTTCCCAATTTAAGTTTTACCGAACCTGTGCTTTGATACCTGGATGATGCGTATGTTCAAGAAACTTAAACACACACAAGGATAATTCAAGCCTAATTCTTTATAGGATTCGTCCACCAAAAATTAAACAAGAAGACAAGTAGATTAATTAAGTTAAAGGTCACACCACCCCTTAATTAATCAACTTAAACAAAGCTTAAAGAACCTAATCACCAACTTCAAGAAACAAATGTTTTAATTGCAAAAGAAACAAATACTTTGATTTATTAATTTGAAAAAATTCTATATCTAAAATTCATGAAATTACAACTATTTATAGACTAAAAACTAACTAATTCTAAGTCTAATAGGACTAGGACAAGTCCCTAGCATTTAACCCCAAGTAACCCAAATAGAATAGGAAAACTAATTCTACTTAGATTAGGAAACTAATTCCAATTCTACTTAGTCTATAATTCCTAAAATAAATTAAATTAATCCTAAGTGCTTAAACCAAGAAAAATCCTTTCAAGTGAAAGGTAAAAACTTGCAAGCAAAAACTAATTAAAAACCAATAGGTAGAGTAAGTAGAGTGATCCGGAACTTGAGCTTGTACTAGACACCAAGTTCCTTTGCTTGAACCGTCCAAGAACCGCCAATTTGTAGCTTCTAATGAGTTAATGTTCAAGCTTAGGTTTTCCTTGTAAAAATTTAACAAACTCTAGAATTTCTCAATATCCAGATCAGTTGCATTTGAATTATTTAATTTTAAAAGAAATTAGGGTTTTTCTACATAGTAACCCTGTTAAATTTACTTTTCTATGTTGTGCTCCAACATATATTACTTTCCACACTGTAACCCCAATATACATTTTGTTTCCATACGGTAACTTTGCCGCTATCCCGCCGTTAAAAATTACGTTAGTGGGGCCCACTCTCCATTTATTAATATTTTTTTATCGATTTGCGTGTTGGAAAACCTTTCGTTAAAGGTTTTAGGGGCTATTTTAGGGCTTAAGGGTTCAAATTGAGCTGAGATTTGGCAAAAAAAAAACTTAAATGCCTCGTTTTGCTTATTAAAAAATGTCTCGATCTACGTGTTCACGTTTTAATACGCAAAACGAGGCATTTACGTTACTTTTTTGTGAAATTTGAGTTCAATTTGGACCCATGAGGGCCAAAATAGCCCTCAAAACCTTTACCGAAATATTTTCCAACACGCAAAACGATAAAAAAATATTAATAAATGGAGAGTGGGCCCCATTAACGAAATTTTTTAACGGCGAGATAACTACAAGGTTACCATATGGAAACAAAATGTATATTGGGGTTACAATGTAGAAAGTGATATATGTTGGGGCACAACGTAGAAAAATGAAATTAACAAGGTTACTATATAGAAAAACCCAAGAAATTAATAATCTCTTATTTAATTGGCTACAACTAAAATTTATAATCCTATATGGCGCGGTAAGAAAATTAAATCCTACTTGGCTCTCTAAAAACTCGGGAAAAAACTCCCTTTTATATATATATACTAGCTTTGTGCCCGGGCGATGCCCATTTGGTTGATAAGATTTTAAGATAACATTTTTACTTGAATGCTAAATACGGCCAAATAATTCGTTCTGATAATGTAGGATATTTAGACATACGATATCATATGGAGTGTGATTAGGGGATTTTTCCCTACCAACCATCATCTGACAAGTGGACCAATCAGGTCCTGCCATGTGTCTGCCACATGGGCCAATAGGAGCCTGCCACATGTCAGGCGTTGATATGTCCACCATGGACCAATTGTGTCACGCCACGTGGCCTCCATATGCCAAGCAGGTCAAACGGCCACCTAGGCCCAATTTCCAAGGGAAGCCCAGTCAACCCTAGGTTAACCTAAACCTAGTATTTGGCCCGTTTCCCAAGGTTATAAATACTCTAATTAATCCTCATTAAGGAGGATTCAGCAATTAATTACTCTCACCTAGAGAAAACCAAAACACATTAATCACTCCTCCCCTAGAGGAACCAGATCTTCCAACCTTTACATTCTCCGCCCTTATTACTCCTAAAACAAGTACTAACTTGACCGCGGAGGCGGAACTCCCACCACAAGGAGTCTCCGTTGTTTTGCAGATACAGGCGCACGGATCCAGTCTCGGAATTGTAACTCTCCCGCAGGACATAAAAAAACCCCGAAACATTTTTGGCGTCGTTTGTGGGGAGATTAATTTCGAGATGGCATCACAGTCTGTACCGAATCCAAAAGAGAGGCGTCCAGTGGACGACCCTCAAGTCTACTAAGACCAAGATACTGAAAATGAGGTCGAGGTGGAAACACACACGGCCTCAGATGGGACCCTAAGGGCCCGACGCACCCGTCACACCGAAAGGAGGGAACGGGTAGATTGCCAAGCCGGACCCAACAATCCAGCCGGCCCACCGCTTAAGCAACAATAGGCGGCTGAAGGATATGCTCCCATTACAAGGAACGAACTCATGACTTTCATGAGGGGGTTCAAGGGAGAGATCCAAGAGTTGATTAAAAAGAGAACGCCTGTTCCTGCAAAGGAACAGTCGGCTAAAAAATCCTCTCACTCTGGTAGGATGAAGTCAGTCACTGATCGTGCGGCAACCCCTCACCCAAAATTTGGGGCTAGTCGGCCACCGGTGATTGATTGGACGAAGTTTCACTTCCCGTCAACTGGGAGGAGAAAGCCCATCCGTCATGTTCAAGCGGATGGGACGAAGAAAACGTACACTGATGCTCGGTTGATGCTAGAGCAGAAGAAGAGTGACCGACTGTCAGAGTCGGCCTCTACTTCAGATTTTCAGGATAGTTTGCATAATACCTCCCTGAGGTATACTCAGTCAAATCATGAGAGTCAGATAGGCGGTACCTCCCGTCGGTCCGGATCTCATAAAGATCAGTCGGTACCGAATGTACCATATGTACCGCAATAACAATACTTCTTGCAACCTCCTTTGTTTGGAGGGCAGGCGGCAAGAAACGTCCAACCATTGGACTGGCAACTACGGTTGCTCAAACTTGGAGCACAGTCGTCCGCCTTCTCCAAGGAAATTATTAAGGTCGTCAAGCCGGCCAAAGTGAAGAATGTGTTAGTAGGCGCTTATGATGGCACTACTAACCCAGAAGATCATCTAATGGCGTTCACCAACCTAATGTACCTCCAAGGGTTGGATGATCCCACTTGGTGCAAGTGTTTCCCAGCGACTCTCAAGGGAATTGCACAGCAATGGTTCGGCAACCTGCCGACTGGTTGTGTGAATAATTTCAAGACTCTTGCCTACTTGTTCACCTCCAATTTTTCTATGAACATTCCTGCTAAAAAGACGACCCTTGACTTAGGAACCATTCAGCAGGGTGAGAACGAGGGACTCCATTCTTACATCAGGCGGTTTAACCTGATGAGGATTCAAATACAGGGGCTGCCGGATGTGGTAGCCTACACTGACTTTTTCAGAGGTCTTAAGGATGGGCCGACCTTCAAGTTCGACTTAGTCCAAAAGAGGGTTGTGACTCTCCAAGAAGCATTGATTGAAGCCGAAGCCTATATACAGGCGACTAATCTCTGTAACACTCGGAAAC